GACGCGGGGCTCGAACTCACGGACCGCGAGATCGTGACCTGGCTGAAGCCGGACGCTTAACCGACTGCGCCACCCAGGCGCCCCAAAGCCTTACACTTTCTTGGACAATATTTCCAAAATACTGTCTTGACATGGAAAAAAAAAAAACCCCGGGCTTATACTTCTCTTGTGAGATCAAAATTCACTCTACTTGGAAGTGGGCAGGATGTGAAAGAGAAGTGTGGGGCAAAAGGAGAATATTTTCACCCCTATCCTTAATCCTCCTCAGCATACAAGGAAACAAACATCCAGTTATATTTGGTAATCCTGATATTACAGGTAGAAGTATAGATAAGGAAAGCCATAAATCCCCATGAGTATAGAGAAAACTCCTACCTGCATCTGGTCAGGCTGAAGCACAAAAACACCCTGAAAAATTATAATAAATTACACTTTGATGGTGGATAAAGACAAGAATAGCTTGGATCAAAAATATTGCTAATTAGTAGGAGAGATACATAAGATAAAATTCACCAGGTCTTTAGTTCAGGGCCATGGTTGCACTTCTAAGGGTATTTGGGGAAACAGACTGGGAATGGCTTCAGGCAATGCTTGCTGAATGCAGGTAGGCCTAAAGGAGAATTTTCTTTTTCTGTGTACTATGGTTTTCTTGAGAGAGAGTAGAGTCAGTGTGTTTTTGTTAATTTCAGTAACTGCAGTTGTAGGTGATAATGTGCAGAACACAATGTTATGGTTAGGATAATGACTTCCACTAACACACAGTGTTTCCAAAGTTGTTCTCCAGGGGTCAACTTCCAAAGTTGTTCTCCAGGGGTCAACGAGAGAACAACCATAGTAAATTCTGGACAACCAGAGAAAGGGAAAAGGTAAAATTATAGTTTGCAGGCTCCAAATAGACTGGTTGATAAAATCTTGGTATCATTCCACCCTGCCCTCTTCACAACTGAGATGGTAGAAAAACAATATAATAATCTAAGTAGAACAACTGAGAGCCTAGATGAGACTCTGAGTTTGCTAAAGAATGGAGATTGGAAAAACAAAATGCTTACAACTTTCCCATTCCTTGTCCATGTACAAAGTACCACATTTCTAGGTCCTCTACACGAACCTGGGATGGGCTAAATGTGTAGTGGCACCAATCAAATCCAATGCTACTATGCCCCAGGAAGGCTTAGATGGGAGAAAACATTCTCTTTCCCAAGTCTCTATCATTTCATTTACTCTCTTCTCAGTACTTCCTTGTATACATTTAAACCTTTCCATCTTTATATTCTTGATTTCTAAAGAGAAGATTCTGTGTTTTTATTTCTAGACTAGCTTTTTAAATTTTGCCTACTCAGTACCTTCATGTTAAAGGCACCTCTCTTATGATCTTAAGTCAGTTTTCAGGCAAAAACACAAAGAAATTAATTTTTCCCTAATATGGATTGTAAAGAAAATAATAGATTTCTCTGGGAAATCTTTTCTCACCAGATTCCCATTCATCCTTGTGGCTTGCAAGGTCCATCGTGAGCCCTAGGGGTGACAGATGCTATTATGAGAAATTCCTTTCCTGTGAGAGGAAAAGGGCTGGAATAAGGAGTTGTTTTCAAAAGAACCATTCTTACCTGCTGATCCAAAAGAGCCCAGAACATGGGAAGTGGGATATATAGGAATAGTACCCTGGTCAGTGCCTTCACATCCATAATGAGCTGCTTCTGCAAGAAAGGGAAAGAAGGAACAGGCTGAATTTCTAGACTTGGTTTTTTGTTTAGAGTAGAAATGTCCCAGAACAGTAAGAGAAGAAGTCAAATGCAGTAAGAGGGAATCAGTTTGGACATTAAAAATCTCCATGGAGGCATAAGATATTTCTGTACTTCCAACTTACTGGGTATTTCTCAGCTGCCCAGTCCAGCCAGTGCTGTCGCTTAGGAATGTCCCCAGAGCGGTTGTTGAAACGGTTGGAAATAGCAAACTAGGGCAGAGCATAAATATCAGAGCATAGATATCAGAAGTGTGACAAAAAGAAAGCATCCCATGCCTTTTCTAATTCATTATCCCTTCCCTCAGATACACATACTTTAATTGACTTACTCCAACCCTTTGATTTCATCAGACATTGAATACAGAATATTTCAGATATAATTTTAAACTATTCCTGCATCCTATTGGCAACATATATTACATATACACATTTCAGAAGATTTTTGTCAATTTACAAAAATGGTTACATTATTTTTTTTACTTAATGGTTAAGTAGAGACACAGAGGAAGACTGATTAATCTCAGTTTGCCAAAAGGTACAGAAGTAGAACAGAGTCATTGGGAAAAATGTATACTCATGTTTGAAGGCCTATATGCTCAGCATAGCGTCTCTCTTCTCCCATTGATTGAAAAAGGCAGGTAAACAATTCACTCACCCAGATACACTTGACAACTTGACTCACTATGTTTCCTTCAGGAGGTGGTTTTCTGTATATTTTGCTTCCCATTGCAAACACAACTGCAGTTGATACACGAACAAGGTTCTTAGCTTCTCATTCAGCACATTCAGTATGTCAGTACTAAGGACAGGCTGCTGAAGTGTTAGGAGTGACTGGCAAAGCTTATAAAGGGAGGAGACTGAGTTAAACTTCTTGACTTTGGAATTACACAAATTATGGGATCCCAGAGAAGAATAAAATGGTCAATTGTTAAGTAATCTGTTGAGACTTTCTTGTGCCACAGAAATCAAAGTCATTTCTGAATTCTTTTTCCTCCATCTCTACATCTGATATGTTACCAACTTTAATTGAGACTCTCTTCAACATATTTCCTATCTGCCCCTCTTTTGTATTACTACTGCTAGGACTCTTGTTTAGTACCTTAGAACCTCTACCCTGGATTATTAAAATGGCTACCAACTAGTTTTTCAATCCCTGGTCTCTTCCTTCTCTTATCTGATGCCAAATTAAAACCTTCTTTCTAGGACCTACCTAAAAAGCCCAAACTCCTGGCATGAAAGCTCTTCCCAAATTCATTATTATCCTAATGGCTATTATTATCACTATCCATCTATCGAAGGTTTACTATTATATGTAAAGTGTTAAGCATTTTATATACATTAACAGATTTAACCTGAAAAACATGTACTACTCTCTCCATTTTATTGCAGAAATTGAAGATAAAAGAAATTAAGCAATTTGTACAGATTACATAGTTATAAAATGTCAGAAACTGTATTTTTGACCGGAGATTTGTCTGACTCAAAAATAATATATGCTATTAACGACCATAAAGCATCTCATTCACTCATTCTTACACTAGACACTTTGCTAGATAAAAAAAGACATGGCCCCTGTGGAGCTCACCTCAATCTACTATTTCCTACTTTATGTTTCATTATTTCCCATTAGGTACTCTACACTCTAACCACTATTCATCATTCTTACAAAAATAATTCTGTGCTATTACTGTACTTGAGCTCATTCTCTTTTCCTTACCCCATATTCTTTAACCACATCTTCACAGCTAATTGTAAGTGAATTTTATTTTCTTATTTTTTTCTACATTCCAACTAACCAGCAATTAGATGATATTATTTTTATAATTATGAAATACTAAATATTATTTTTTTCAAGCTTATTAACTAAATTCAGCAGGAAGACTCTATCTTGGTACTGTCCCAGATGTATTTCCCTCCTTAATGGATTTCCCAGCTCCAGCAAGATGTCCCTCTAGAAGTTCTTCTACCAAAGGTGTCTTTGTCAGTGACCAGCAGCACTTTATAGTATCTTTATGCACCAGAATGACTGAGTCCCCTTACTTTTCCTTACCTTAACTTTCTAAATTCTCTTACTCTCAGTCAGATTGCCTTTATCACTTTTTCTTCATTCATCCTCTGTTTCCCCAAAGCTTGTCCAAATAGCACGCTTTACTTACCACAGGCTTCTTATTGTTGACAGAAAAAATGGCTAAGAGAAAGGATGCTAATCCTGGGAGACAAGTGGGCAGCAAAAGAGGTATCTAGACAAGAGGAAGATTTTGGAGGGGAAATAGACCACTCCTAAAACTAAGAATGATCCTAGAAAGAGGCTAGAAATATCAATAGTAGAGTGGACAGTGGACTGATAAAAGGAAGGCCAGGTAATTATCTGGGTAAGATCACACTTAAATTTCAAAGCCACTTAACTGAAGAAGAGGAGTAGGAACCTTAAGTTTCTCTACTAATTCTTTCTTGCAGTAGATGATGTTGCCTCCTACTTCATAAAGAAAACACAAGCCTTCAAATAGGAATTGTCTCAACTTCCTGACACAAAATCTATTAATTCCTATATCTACAGCTATCCTCTTCTCCCTCCAGTTAGTTGAAGGTGATGTTCCTCCTCTGTACAAAGGTAATTCTGCCACGTGTGCTTTCATACTGATTACACTGTCTTTTTCTCACATCTTCAACTTCTTTCTCTACTGGAGTCTTCCTGATGATATTCAAGCATGCCCAACATACTCTCTTGACTCCATGTCCCATTCGGCTATATATACCATTTTCCCTTTCTTACCTCTTATTCACTTCTCATTCTACTCTAATCTGTCTTGAATCCACCAATCTATCATAACTGATATCACCAAATTAGTGACCTTCTTGTTGCTATATTCAATGGGGATTTTTCTCCCTTATCTCACTTTCCCACTTAGTAACATTTGTTACTCTGAACAATTCCCTTCTTGAAATCCTCTTAGAATCCAAGATAGAACCCCTACCATTTTAGCCATTCCTTCTTAGTCTCATTTGTGAGCTTTTTCTTTTTGCCTATCTTGTAATACTGGCATTCCTCGGGGCTCTAACGTAGCCCTCTTTTACTTTAGTTTTACTATCTCTTAATTATTTAACCTATTTTTATAGCTTAATTGCTCTTCATACACTACTAGCTCCAGATCTTTATCTACAGCCCAAACATTTCTTCTGAGCTTTAAACCTGTATTTCCAGATAGCTCTTTGATAACCCCAATTATATTTTCAAAGACATCTAAAATGTAATGTACGCCAAACTAAATTCATTAGTGTAATGATCCCACTATCTACCTAATTGCTCAAGTCAGAACCCTAATATTCATTGATTTATCTTCTCCATCACTTCACATTTCTAATCATATCAAGTTTTGTCAATTTTACCAGGGCTGAGACTAGTCTGAGCTGAGTGAGACACTCACCTTGAGCACAAAATTTTAAATAATGCCAAGAATTCAGTAGTCAAGATAAATAATATCCTTACTTCACCCTTAACCCATTCTTTCTCCACATTATGGTCAGAGACACCACTGAGAAATAAAAATCTAACAATCATTCCTCTGTTCAGAATCTTTTTGTAGCTCCCTAATGTTTTGATAAAGTTCTAATTCCTTAAGACTTAAAAGGCCGTTCGTTATCTGGTTTTTGTCACCTTTTTCTCATTATCTTTCTCATTTATACCTGGGGCAATCCGGAATTCCTCTAAGGCCTTCAGATATGTCACAATTATCTCTCATTTCCTTGTCTTACAGATATCATGTCTTCTTTGATTAACTCCTGCTAATCTTTTAGGCCTCATCTTAGATACCATTTGTTTAGGCAAACATTTTCTGAGCTTCAGAGTTTTAGTCAGACATCCCTCCTTCGTGTTCCTACAACTTTCTCTGTACCTCCCCCACTGTGACACTGATCATACTGTATTATAAATTCCTGTTTACTATGTATGTTTCCCTTTCCTGCTGGACTATATAAGTTTTTTGAAAGCATAAACTCTGTGGCTCTCTAATTCATCAATGTAACCCCAATTGCTACACAGGATTTGACACATAAAAGGTTCATTAAATAAATGTTTGTTGAATCAATGAATGAAAAGAATAGATGAATAAATTTATAGTGAAAAGCCAGAGAATTATTTATTTGTACCCAGAAAACTGAAGCAGCTAATAATGACAACTAACACTTGTTTAACATTTCATAGTTTATAAAACATTTAACATATAGTATCTCTTTTTATCTTTATAATTATTCTGATGTGTTAATATTATTATTGTGCCATGATCCAGAGAAGAAGACATAGCACTAAGTGGAAAACCAGGATGATATTTGAGAAAATGTTTGGTTTCAAAGGGAGAAGGAAGCAGGGAATGTATTATCACAGCTCTCCTGGAATAACACAGAAGTTTCCTTGAAATTGGAATTAGAATCTGAGTATCACTATTAACCACCCCCTGGTAGAAAATAATCAGGACTGAACATTGACTCTTTGGGTTCTTTCTTCCTCTATTGAGTTCTTTATGTGTTGCGCTGGATATCTTCCAGGGGGGTGTCACCCAAAGGCTCAGAGTGAGAACAGGTTTCCAGGTCAGTGATTAGAAACAATCACGTCCAAGTTTCCCCTTAGACTGCATAAACTAAGCGACACACACATCCTCTTTCCTCTTCCATTATTGGGTTGTCAGTGGTAAGGAGAATGCCACTTGATCTAACTTGCATCAGTTTCCACCTACTCATCCAACTCCCCTCATTCCCTTTGATCAAGAGAAAACTCCTTGGGAGCATTGAAGAGCAGGACAGAAATAGCAAAACCTAGAAGCTACTTTAAAAGAATTAAAAATATCTTCCAATAACCAGATAAATAACTATCAGATGAAATAAGCTAGATTGAGAGAAAGGATTAATTATCTTCCTCGCTTCCTTACATATTGTAGTATAGAACGGTGGATCTCAGCCTTGACTACTCTTTAGAATCACCTAGATATTAAAAAAACTATAGATACCTAGCCTCCATCCTGCAGAGATATTGACTTAATTGCTCCAATATAAGGCACAGGGATTAGTCTTTTTAAAATCTCCCCAGAAAACTTATTAGTTATATAACCTTGGGCATGTTTCTCCCTTTCCTTCCTTCTTTCCTTTGTGTCTTCTTTCTTTCTTTCTTTCTTTCTTTCTTTCTTTCTTTATTTCTTTTTCTTTATTTCTTTTTCTTTTCTTTCTTTCTTTCTTTCTTTCTTTCTTTCTTTCTTTCTTTCTTTCTCTTCCTTCCTTCCTTTCTTTCTTTCTTCCTTGGTTTCTGACTTCATTCTGTTAATTTATCTCCAATGTCTAGAGAAAATCCCTACAATAACACTTACCTAATAGGGTTAGTGTGAGGACTGAATAAAATAGTGCTTAGATGATGCTTTTCATGTAGCAGGCATCAGTGATTATTAATTTCCTCTGTCCCAGTGTACTTACCAAGAGCTATCACCATTAGTAATCCTGGAACTCCAAAAGCCAATGCATAGCAGTCTTCCCCAAAACACTGCACATCTCCTAGGCCAGAAGAAAGTAACCTTGAATCTTGAATCTTTTGTGTTCTATTCTGCAAGCTCAAGTTTGTGAGGTCATAGACATAGCCATCCTCTTTCTTCCCATCACCTCATCCATAATCTTTCTTTTGGGCCAGACAAATCAAGATTAAAAGAAATTCTCAGATTTTTAAGCCCTTGTAAAAGTAGAGGATGAAGAGCAGGAAGCCTTGAAAAGATTTTTGACTGGTCAGAGAAAACCTTACACAGGGCCCCTTAGAAAAGATCCTAACCTCTAAGCATGGGTGTGATAAATGTAGAAATCAAGCTCCCTGCATTGATGGAGAGGTAGAAGACTGAGAAATACCTAGTCCGTTCCTCTGCCTGAAAAACAAAACAAAACAAAACAAACAAAAATAAGTGTGATGTGCCTCCTAGCTCATCTACCCTACGTTCAGACTAAGCTGGAGGTACATGCACAGAAACAGATTCAGATATTGCCTCCATGATATCTGAAAAACATATTAGATATTTTAACACATAACCCATACAAACATTTACCCATCTTTCAAACCTAGTACAAGCATCTTTAACACTCTTATACCCCTCCTGGGAAAAAATGATCATCCTATAATACTGTGCCACTTGTGTCCTATATATGTCCTAATATTAATTTCTTTCCATTAAATGTCTGTTTCATTCAGTAGGCTGAGAGTTCCTTTAGTACAGAAATCATATCTTGCTCATTTTTGTGTTCCCTACTACCCAGCATAGTCCCTGACACATATTACAGACTCAACACATTTTTATAGACTGAATTAATTAAGTGAATGATTGAGTTAAATAGATTTTATGGAATGTGTGGTATAGGAATAGTACTAGAACATAGGACAGTGGGTTAAATTGTTGATCAAGCAGGGTAGTTCACCTAGTACTTATGGGAATTCTGCCAGAGAGTATAAAAGGAAGTCCGTGGGCTTAGAAGTGGTTGGTGGAAACTTGGAAGTAGGTTTGTCTTATTATTGAAATATCTTTGCAGAGCAGTTACTGAATGAAACAACTTTAAAATATAGGGTTTTTGTTTGTTTGTTTGTTTTTGTTGTTGTTGTTGTTTTTATTCATTATGCTTCATTCTGGTACCACAGATCTTTTCCTGACATGGTAGCACAATCTGTCCTTCCCTATTTTCTGTTTACAGTGTTTGCTTCCTCTTCTGGCCCCCTTTTAAATCTATTCCACTCACCTATTTGTACAGTTCATTGTGCCTAGAATCCCAAAGGTTGCCAAAGGTCGGTATTTCTCCAAAGTCAGCAAGCAATTATGATCTATGGTACCCCGGACAGATAGGGAATATAAAATAATAACTCAAGTGGTCCGAAGGGGAGGAGATACACAAGAAGCAGGACACAGAGAAAGAACAGAGAGACAAAAACCAGAAACATGAGAAATTGCTATAGATGAGGGAATAATACATGAAGACAGACAAAAAAGTGAGAACAAAAGAGAGAAAGCCAAAAATGTTGCCTATTTAAAAATAGACTATGTTCCCTGCCTAATTATCAAGCTTCCTCGTTTAGACCCATTTGTAATTTATTCATACCTGTTCCCCGCCCTCCCCCCCCATTAATAGTGGAAAGTAGGAAAAGAGGAAATGATCATTCAGACAAGTTCATCTATAGAATCTCATTCTATTTTATTCTGAACGATCATTTCCCCCTTTCATAGGATTTCAGCCAGATGTGCTTAAATCATCTCTACACTGCTTATTATCTCCCATTCTCAAAGTACCTACCAAGGTTCTTCTCAAATACTTCAAGTGAGAGTAAACTCACTGCTTCAAACTCTTTTGGAATTTTTCCTTCCATCAAGCAAAAAACTTCCTATAGCTTTCACCCACTAGTTCTGGTTTAATTACTATCAATATTTATAGACAGTTATAATATTCTCTTTAATTCTTACCTTATGTAGGTTGAATATCTCCAATTCTTTCAACCTTTCTTCATAAGATGTGTCTTAGTCCATTCACTACCCTGGTTACTTTCCTTTGAACATGTTTCAGTGTTTCTATTAATGACCAGTACCCAGCACCTAATAGAACTCCTGACCTGTGGATTACTTCAGTCTTGCCAAATAGCTACCTGCTAGGTACCTTTTTAATGTCTGCTCTACGTTCTTGAAAACACAGAAATAACAGGTCTCTTACATGTTTTTCTTCAAACTGGTCTCCACCAAAAGCTGCCACGCAGGGCTTGATACCTCCTGTCCCCAAAGCTATTAGACTCAGGCCAACCAATGATAAGACTCTGAAATGGAGAGGTAAGGATATAACCATATTGATATGAAGCACAACTGCAGAAATTGGATGTACAAGAGCAAAGATTCCTTTCACATTTCTTCACATTTCTGCAGGCACTTTCCATCTGCCTTCATTCCTCTGAGAGACCCAGAGACACTTAAAATACTTATGACCTTTGAGCCTCTGCCAGAAAGTATGCATTGCAGGGGGGCATTTTGTCCCTGAGAGTTCCATTTACCCTTTGTGTGCAATAGATAGAAGCAGATACTGAAGGAATTTCACAGTTAAAGCACTGTTTTCAATCTTGTCTTAATTTAAGGAATATACCAACAGAAGGGCCTTATAAACACCTATTCCATATACGCTTCCTAAACACAAAATAAAATGTTAAAATTATTTATGATTAATAGGAGAAGTGTCACTTTTTGTTGGGACGCTGAGAGGGAGGTATTTAATATTTATTAAATTTTAAAATTCTTAATTCATTAGATAAATACATGTGTAGGCAGATTATAAACATGAATACATGTGATCTACTTCTTGAACAACTGTAACCCTCCTCTTTACTGACTGAATCAACTGACATCAGTATGTATCAAATGCCTCTGGCCTAATAAACATCAATGGCTTAAATAAAGAGGCATAGAGCAATTGGAATATATGGAACTTAAATGAAAATAATCCAAGCTTTGGATAGGATTTCTGCAATGCACACTATAAAGAAATATTATGCACATTTTTAGTCCTAGCAAAGTACAGATGTATGGGTGGGTGAATAGGTGGGGAAATATGAGGGGCATCAAGTTTTAATAATTGTCTCTAAGAGGGTTGCCTGGGTGGCTCAGTCAGTTAAGCGTCCAACTTCAGCTCAGGTCATGATCTCACAGTTCGTGAATTTGAGCCCGCGACAGGCTCTGTGCTGACAGCTCAGAGCCTGGAGCCATATTCAGATTCTGTGTCTCCCTCTCTCTGCCCCTCCCCTGCTCATGCTCTGTCTCTCTCTGTCTCAAAAATAAACAAAAACATTAAAAAAATTAAAAAAAATAATTGTCTTTAAGAATATGATGAGTTTTTATGAAAAGGAAACTAGCTAGGCATTCTACAAGTCTCCAAATGTTTAATAAAAACAAATGAGGACAGCTAAAGTAGGCAAGAGTTCAACTGATCACAAAATAATTTTTTTTTCTCAACCACTTTGGTAATAAAACAATAGGTTGGAAAATAAAGGGACATCTCCGGTAAGAAAATAGAAAATAACCTGTAATGAATGTGTGAGACATTGACCTGTCTAATGAAAGAAAAGTTGTTCAGTTTATTCCATGATTTTACTCACGTGTGTACCATTTGTCCCCCCAGTATTGGTAAGGCACCCAAGGACTTGACCACATGGCCAAGCACATACACCAAGGAGAGATAGATGATTGTCCTGTTGAGAGAGTTAAATCAGTCAGTCTACAAACAGAATCGAGAGAGTTGAGTAATACAGACTCAGAATTCATACTGTTCTCAGTGCCAGAATAAATGAAAGAGGAAGGGGAGGAGGAGGAAAGAATTACCTGAGAAATGTACATAGATATAGGAGTGGTAAATGAAGTAAACAGACCAGAAAAAAGAGAGAGCAACTCTTTACCCGGTAGTGTTAGAGGTAATGGACATTCCCTTCAAGCTTTTTTCTCATATATGACCTGTCCTTTTCCCCACTCACTCTACACTGGTTGGATCCACTGGTTGGATTTGCATCCACTGGTTGGATTTGCAGCAAATGATGTTTTAAACTATGAGAACCAGGACAATAGGTTACTTTGACCAGAGGTGTTGTTATCAAGGAATGTCTTTGGCACTAGAAATAATAGGAATCAAGAAAAAAACTGCAGGTAAATAGGAAAAAAAGAATGAGTAACATAAAGAACTTTCTCTAAACCCAACCAATGGGATGGATAGAAAGGCTCTCAGGTTCAGCCTGATTACTCGAACACTTGGGTTAATTGTAATCCCTACCACAGTTACCTCATGTTCAAGTTATCAAGGGTAAGAAAGGAGTCAGGGACTATGAAGAGACTGCCCAGTGATAAAGGTCATGCAGTTGGTAGGGACTTCTTGTGTTGTTTTTCCAAGAAATCTGAACGGCAAATAGGAAGTGGAACAGCGAAGAATTCCAGGAAGAACATATGTAGAGATTTACACACTAAAATATAGCACACTACTACCTTTATGATATATTCCTTATGTGCATTACCATGCCAGCATTCTCTTTAAATATAAGTAGAATGTTAGTACTAGAAAGAACCTTGGAGATTATATAGTTTACACCTGTGATTTTAAAGTGTTATATGCTAATGTGGAATATAAAGAATGAAATGAAAGTATCAGACAGAGGCTGGATATGCCATCAATCTCAGGTTGTGGATTTCTTATTCTAAATGCCTACTCTCTTTCGGTTGGCTCTCCAGGGAAGGGACCTTAGAGGGTTTATAATGGCAAGTAGGGTATAAGAAGTTGGGTGACTAATCCAGGGCATTAATTGCGTATGGCAATTAATATCAAAGGAAGGGGACAGGCTTTCCCAAAAGGCATGTAGCATCTTCTAGAGAAGAGTTTTCTTTGTTGGAATAAAAAGAATAAATAGAAGGGGAATGAAAAAGGACTGAAAGAAAGACCAGTTATCATGAACCCAAAAGAGACCATCTCTGCTAGATCATCAGAGAGAAAAAAACAAAAGAAGTGTAAGCTGGAATAATAGAGTCTGAGTAGGGAGATCAGAGCAATATCAGATTGTTGGACTAAATGGATAAAGGAAGTATAAGTGGTTTAGAAAGAAAATAAGCAACATTTTAGGTGAAAGGCTCAGGAAATTAGTCTAGGATATGAAGAATATAAGAAAGAGGAAGCTAATGGTAGGAAACTTTAACAGAAAGAGAAAGAAGTCAAGATAGACTTGGACATTCTGCATTTGAAAGGGGGTCATTGAAATCCTAACCACAGGAAACAAAAGTTTTCTGGATAGACTTGACCAATCTTTCGTTTGCAAATGAGGAAGGTGAAATCCTGAGAGGTCAAAGAACCTTCCTAGAGTGACATTCTAATTAATTAGTATTAGGGTTAGGTATAGAACTTCTACTTTCTAACTTACAGCCCAGTGTTCCTTCAGTTTTAATATAGACAAGTTAATGTGGAAAAGGAAAGGAAAGAGGGAGAGGTTTTAAGTTTTATTTCACGACCAGAGCCATTTTTAATGAGAGTTTAGGAACTGAGAAGGAGTATGTGCAGTGATGGCAGAGAAAGAAACCTAGCATGAAGAGGGGCAGCTCTGATGAGACAAAAAATATAGGAGAGGGAAAAAACATGCTATATACCTACTCAGAGAAAGAGAAAGGAGATGGTAGTAAACACATTCATTAAGAGAGTGGCTGTAAGTCCAAACCAATAGGCATGGGGACACAGAGCATAAAAACCACACTAGAGACTATGACTAAAAATGTTTGGCTCTCTTAAAAGCAACTTGACATAAAAAAAAAAAAGCATTCTAGCTTGTGGTCAGCCCTCTCAGTAGATGTTTATAGAAATCATGAAAAGCCATATCCATGCTTCAATCTTAAAGGAAGTCATTTTAAAAATAAATAAAAGTACTAGGGCATTTATGGGAGTCTTTTATTCTATAACTGAATAAAGGTCATGACTTATACTTTTTATTCTGCATATAGTACCAATCTCCTATCTGGATGGACTTGGTAACCAATATTACATAAGTAGCAAACATAATCCACCATCTTTCTCTCAAGTCAAGAAACTGTATTCACTACAGTGTTATGGTTGTAGTTATATATTAAATGCTAAGTAAACACTTTAGAACAATGAATATATATAAGCCAAGTGAGATATAAACCAATGTTTACTAGAGAGGATTCCTTGGAATACTAGGTCCACAAAATATCCTGAAAAAATATTCCATGGTGAAATAAGTTTGGGAATTACTACATACCATAACACAGCATAACATAATCACTACATAACATAACATAACAATTTCTTGGAAATTGTACAGTGTGTATTAGCATGTTAAAGGCTATAAGAAGTCATGCAGTAAAGAAATCTTTTTAACTTTGTTCAGCCTAGCATTTTCCAAACTTATTTGACCATGAGAGCTTTATCTTCCTATATTACACTCATTGTATCCTATCAACCAATTTCAACAAAATGCTCTTCGAGAAATACTAATTAAGACAAATCCATAGATGACAAAGCCATAGAAAATAAGTTGGGAATGGATAGCCAAGATCCATTCATTTCTAGCCTATGAGGATAATGTTGTAGGGGAAACTATAACATCCCATAAATGTCTCTTGGTGCTATTTTCAGAGACTTAAAAGGCGCAGAACTGAATAGACCATCAGTGTAATTCATGAAAATATTATATTCTTAAGAAACAAACCACAGAAAGAGTTTAGAGAAAAGAAACAGTAAAACAGCTAAAAAGGGGGACTCATAAGAATATACTAAAGGAGTTGGGATGATTCGCTCTGGAGAAGAGATGGAGAGTATATGAAGTAACTACACTGAGGTCTCTAAAATTATAAATTTTCTGGTGGGTAGCAATCTTTATCATCCCTGAGATTATAACAAGAATTGGTTTTAAACTATAGAATGGGAGATTAAAATTAGATTTAAGGAAAATAAAAATAAAACAATTCCTGATTGAAAAGGATGCAAAAAAAAATGGAAGAAAACTGATAATGAAGAGAGACAGTCTTTCTGTGTTGTCAATCTTAAAGAGATATATATTTGTCATGGATGACACAAGTATATTTTTGCTTGGAAGCAAGCAGCAAGAAGTGGAAAAATCTCTGCACAATTAATCTGCAATGTGGGGATGTGACCGCCCATCTTCCTTACTTGAATTTTCCCAGCCATGAGTCAGCAATGGCTGCTCCCAGGATGGGAGTGAAATAACAGAGGCTGCTGAAGGCATGGTATATAGATGTGGAGGTGTCTTCATTCCAGTGCAGGAAATACAGGAAATACAGGGTCAGCACAGCTGAGGTGAAAAGGGGTAAAGAAAACAAGACAGATACATTAAAATGATTTATGGAGAAGTATATTTCAGCTCTGGTCTTTGAAGGTGATCTTGACCTTCAACACTACTATCAGTGAAGTGACTGAGGAGTGACCGTCAGGCAGTAGAAGCAGGGACCATGGACATTGTGGGAGTGAATGAGGCTATGCTTAGTGTACAAATGTGGTATTTCTCCCTTAAGTCCATGTACATACATAGCATTTAAGCCAATCCCAAAGATGCTTCCAATGTCACGGCCTTCTCCTTCTCAACAATAGACCTGAGAAACATGTATGAAAATAGAAGGAAGTTTTCACACTTATATTCTTACAGACTGTTTTCTGGTATCTGTAAGGCCTTTCTGTTCTTGGCTTGTCACTAGGTGAAATCCCATGCAGTATTCATTGGCAATGTTTGCCAGAGGAAAAGATCAATATGGATAAAGGTAGAAAGTGTGGATAAGGGAAATAAGTACATAAAGAAGACCACGTGTTTCCCAACATGGGGTGAGGGTGAGTGGAGAAGAGAAAGAATTTGGGACACAAAAATTACCTTTCATGCCATAATAGGAAAAGCGCTCACAGAATTCATTCACCACAATGAAGGCAATGCTCAGTGGATAGTTGGAGCCACAAATTTTCTATGAAATAAAAAGGCAGTGGTTCAAGCATGAGCTTTTCCCCTTTATTTAATCACTAGATTGCTCTATGACAGACAAATTCATTTACTTGAAATCACCATGATAGGTAACGTGAAGCAAAGGCCCCTACTCTTCATGAAACAGCTATTATCACACTAAAAAGTACTTGCATTGCTGACTTAGGAGTAATAGAAGCTATTTTGAATATTACTTTGTTCCTCATTCATTTAACATGGAACTGCTCAGACATTCCTTGACCCTACATACCAGGACCTCCCATCTACCTACAAGCAACTGAAAAGCCTGGGGCTCTGAGTAGGAGAATAATCATACTTATTTCTAAGAGCAGAACAAAGAATTAGCCTATAGAGCATTTGACATCCAAGCAGTTACATTTAAATGGGTACTTTTCTTAAAGTTTATTTATTTATTTTGAGAGAGAGAGCACGAGTCGGGGAGGAGCAGAGAGGAGAGAGAGAGAATCCTAAGCAGACTCTGTGCTGCCAGTGGTATTTCTCCCAACATGGGGCTTGAACTCATGAAACTGAGATCATGACCTGAGCTGAAACCAAGAATTGAACGCTTAACCAACTGAGCCATCCAGGCACCCCCGAAGCAGTTACTTTTAGAGGTCAATAACCTCCTTAGTTCTACTGTTTGAACTAACCTCTCTTGTTCCCACCTTCCCTGTTCATGATACCGGGAGGATCCTGGCAATATGATGGCTTACCATTCAGAGCCTGGTGGAACCAGGCTCAGAGTCCAGCTAGATTCCTAAAAGTAAGCTGATTGATCACCTTGAACTTAGAGAGTTCTTAAATCTTATAACATTAAATGTCCACTCTTCCTATGAAAGTCATTCTATAACATTTTCTTGTTAATCCTATTGGACATTAAAAGGACTATATGCTGTATCAGTCAGTATATAAGGAATGTCATGTTTAATTTCAAATCCGTACCCATTATGATTGCCCAACTTACATGAGGTGGGGAGGGAGATACTTTGGACAGTCAAATCTCATCATGAAATTTATATTGCCTCTTATTTCATAAGAAATAACACGCATCTTTGTAAGCAGCCTTAAATTTTCTGGGACCAGAAGAGATATAACTAAATAAATAGATGAAGTAACAAATTAATGTTTTCATTTTTTTACCTATATAGATGGATATAAACAACCCTCCTAGATATTAATATATATTAATATATTAACTTGCTAAAAAGCTTCTTACTTTCCCATCTCACAGCTTGAGCATTATACAACCTAGAGTTTAGTTAATACACTTTACTAGCTATGTAATACCGTCACTGGCTGTGTTAACATATTAACTCTGGACATACTACTATACCTGTTTTTATGTTTACTTTCATTATTCCAAAGAAATAGGAATACTACCACCTCTTGGCACATAGTGAGAACTGAGTAAATATTGGCTATTATTACTATATCCTCTCCACTTACAGGATTTTGATATGAAGGTTGAATGAGATAACGAATTTGGAAGTGTTTCACAAGTATATAATGCAAACATTATTACTTCTTTGTTTCTCTGTCCTGTTTCCCACTGTAAACTGGCACACATAATAACAGACACTGCATCTATTCTAAAACTTTCCTTGGTGTCCAGCATAAGACTCTGAATCCAGGGGGAACGAAGGGCTGAGTTTTTATACTGGTAAAGAAAGAACAATTACACACAGTTCTCCAGGCAAGAATGCTTGCCAAGTTTCCCTGGATATTCAAATTGCTTCTTTTTTCACCCCAGAGAAACTCAGAATATACAATGAGATACAGCAAAGTCTTGTATCCCAGCTGAAGAAATCTCACTACCTCTTCCTACTGCTTCTTCTCCTAAGTAAAGAAAACTTCTGGTTAGATTTGGTTTTCAGGTTAATTCTAATTCCAAGTGAGAATAGTTTTTGATACCCTAATACAGCTCAGCCTGACACTCCAGAGGCCAAGAAGAACCAAAAGAGCAAGTCTGTTCCTGTCAGAAGCAGAATTAAATCTGGGGACTCACCGGAGGTGGCTTCTTTGGGAGGCTGAGGGGTTGAGGTGGTACCTCTTCAGTGGAGACAGGTGAAAACAGAGTTTCCTTGGACTCATTTTTCTGGAAGGGATTCATAGCTGGCTCCTTAGTCTCTCTCTCCTCAAGCATTTGGCTTCAGTAGGAAGTTGGGACAGCTGCCAGCCTACTGTGAAAACGGGCACTGGGAGTGGACTAGGTTTAACCCTGTGGGTGTCAGCTTCAGCAGCTGCCTGACCAAAAGCAAAGCATACAGCTATGGGAAAAGAAAGGGTTGGGTCTCAGAGGCTAGTTCAAAATAATGATTAAATAAAAGAGCTTGAGGAAGTAAGAAGAACACATCACAAGATGGGGTAAAACAATGCTGGAGAATTGCAAAAGAGTGCAAAATACCTAAGAATACCATGCCTCAAGTATAGATTGATTTCAGGATCACAATAGCTGCCATTTATTGAACATCTATTATGGCCAACAATAATATATATGTATTACATATGTATTATCTATCTATCTATCTATCTATCTATCTATCTATCTATCTATCTATATTTTAATTCTTAGTACAATCCCCATTTTATAGGAACTAATGTCCCAAGAGGTTGTCCAAAGTCGTGTGGTCAGTAAATGGCAGGTCTGGAATTTTAACTGCCATGAGAGATGGGAGATTCATATCAGTAATGCCTATGGACATTATTCAGGAATGGAGGGTATATGGAAATGGAAATGTAGGAATATAGGGGAATTGAAATGCACTGAAGAGAGAAAGTAATCACGAAACTGAATTTGGAAATATAGAAAAGATGTTGATTTTGGTTTTCAACATAATAAAGTTCAACTAGAACTATCCTATAAACAGTTAAAGAGGTGGAGCTAATGAAAATCAGAGAAAAGGGTTGGTGATATACATTTGGAAATCACTCTTCTTCGCTAAATTCAGTCCTTGTGTTTTCATCACTTCAGGATGAATCCATCATTTTATGAATAAAGGAAATTCAATCTGAGCAAAAATTATGAACTGGTCACTTTCTAGATATGATTGCAATCACGATTTTCATCAATACTTAGTGATGATGACAGATGTATTTTATACAGTAAGTCAATGGGGAACAAAAATGTATGATGCCCTTCCAGTTGTTAGTGAAAAGAAAAAAGAAAACTGAGAGAGCTATAAGAAAAATGAGGATAAAACTAACAAGGAAGTCAGAAAACAGGAGAATTAATTATTTTATTTGAGAATATAAGAGAGAACCTAGAACTCTATGTCTTGTGGAATTCTTACATTACCTCTATGAGTAATTTGTTGACAAATAAAGCCAGAATAAACTCTACCCTTCCCTCTCTAAACTCTACCTCAGACTTTGACCATATCTTCTCAGCTTCTATTATACTCCGCATCGCCCTTCTTTCCCACCAACCTTTACCCAGAGTTCAGCTTCATTTTGGACTGTGGCATTAATGATTAAGCTGTAGTTGTTCTTTCAAAAAGTATTGCTTTTCCTGACCTAGGTTGGTTATAACTCTGGATGCAAAACAGTCATAAGTTACTAGTCAAGTTAACCTTAAGATGCCTTGAAGATCTGATTATATCAATGGCTCCCCCTGCTCCAGCCATATACCTCTAAGAATAGCATTTGATCTGGCAGAGCACCTAGAGATGTAATGCACCTGTAGATGCAATGCTCTGATTTATTTGTGCTCTTAGGTACTCCAAATACCAAACTTCAGAGTACTGGCATTGGTTTTCTGATACTTCTTTCTTTTTAATGTTTATTTATTTATTTTCAGAGAGAGCCAGCAGGGGAGGGTCAGAGTGAGAGGGAAAGAAAGAAAGAATCCCAAGCGGGCTCTGTGCTGTCAGCACAGAGCCCAATGTAGGGCTCAAACTCATGAACTGTGAGATCTTGACCTGAACTGAAATCAAGAGTCGGACACTTAACCGACTGAGCCACCCAAGCACCCCTGATTCTCCTTCTCCTCCTCCTCCTCCTTCTTCTCCTTCTTCTTTTCTTCTTCTTCTTCTTCTTCTTCTTCTTCTTCTTCTTCTTCCTCTTCTTCCCCTTCTCCTCCTCCTCCTCCTCCTCCTTCTTCTTCTTTAGATGAAATTCTTCTTTTGATTATGGCAATACAATGCTAAGATTCATAAAATCAAATAATATCACAGATGGAAGGAATCTTAATCTTGTCCTATGTAAACTAAACTTCCCTGATGGTGAGAGTGATGTTGGGTAATTCATTCATATGTATATTTTTTCATTCATATATATAATGTTTCTATATATATCAGAACAATTCATATGTATATATGTATGCATGTGTACACACACACACACACACACAGATTTGCAGGCCTTTTTCTTGAAAATTCTTTTTCAATAGATTTGAGTAGGGATTGAAGAACATCTGTTTTTAAAATTTTTTTTTTTAACGTTTATTTATTTTTTTGGGACAGAGAGAGACAGAGCATGAACGGGGGAGGGGCAGAGAGAGAGGGAGACACAGAATCAGAAACAGGCTCCAGGCTCCGAGCCATCAGCCCAGAGCCCGACGCGGGGCTCGAACTCACGGACCGCGAGATCGTGACCTGGCTGAAGTCGGACGCTTAACCGACTGCGCCACCCAGGCGCCCCAGAACATCTGTTTTTAATAAGCACCTCTAATAATTCTTATGACAGGAATTTAGGGAACACTGGTTTGAAATCCCTCTCCCAGACTAGCTTACAGAATATTATGAAAGAACTCAGAAGGGACAGAACAAGGACTAGAACTCTAGCTTCCTGTGGCCTATTCTAGAGCCCTTTCTATCATATATCAAGATGTCTCATTTTTGCTAAGTTGAAATCAGACAGAAGAATAAAAAGAAAAAATATAAAGAGAAAGCAATTCCTCAATAGAAATCAGCACACACTCTTCAGACACAAAAGAGATAATGGCAGCGGAAGAATCTGAAATATCAGTGATAAGAGTGAAAAATATTTTGGGTCTCAGTGATTATGACAGCAGTGATATTTTACACTCATATTTAGAAAGGAGACAGAAGCTGTAAAATAATAAATACTAATATAGTCAGAGAGAGGAGACAAATGAAATTACAAGAGAATGTGTTAAACAAGGTGTATGAATATAGAGTCAGTACACAGAAATAAATCGTACTTAAATATCAGCAAAAACAAATGGAAAAGGGAATTTAAAAAGTGATATTAGCTATAATTGCATAAAAATACCTAGGAATAAATCTAATGAAAATGTCCAAGACCTCAATGTTAAACACTATAGAACGCTATTGAAAGAAATTAAAGAAGATCTAAATATGTATTTAGATGTATTTAGATTTATGTATGAAGACACATACAATGCTCATGACTTAGAAAGTTCATGTTATAAAGATGTCAATATTCCAAATCAACCTATTGTTTCAATACAAAATCCCAATAGGTTTTGTGAGTGTAGAACATGACAAGTTCATTTAAAAAATTTATAGAGGGATGCAAAAAGCCAAGAAGAGCAAAGGCAGTCTTGACGAATAACAGTGGAGGACTTGCGCTACCCAATATAAGACCTGTTATAAAACTATAATAATTATAACACTGTGGAATCAACACCAACCTAGGTAAGGCAACAATGGAACAAAACAGAGTTCAGAAGACCTACACATGTGCTGAGATATCATTAATGACAAAGATGACACTGTGGTGCAGTGGAGGAAATGGTTTTCAATAAATAAACACAATCTGGATATCCATATGGAAAAAATTAATTATAACCCTTATCTTACACCATAGGTAAAAAACAATTCTATATAGATTGTGGATCTGCTTTTTAAAAATAAAGCTTTTAGAGGAAAACATAGGAGAACATCTCTGTGTTCTCTGTGGGATGTTCTCTGTGGCATATGCCAAGATTTCCTAAATAAGACATAAAAATACATTACCATAAAAGAAAAAAAATTGATATGTTGGACAGTATTAAAATTAAGAAGTTTTGTTCACCAAAATATGCATTAAGAGTGAAAATTCAACTCATAGAGTGCAAGAAAATATTCATATTACATATATCTGTCAAAGGATTTGTGTCCAGGCTATATAAATAACTCCAAAAATCACTAACAAAAAGATGCATATCCAGGTTGTTTTGAGTTTCCTATTTTTAATAATACTGTCATAATAACCTTTTATGTAAGTCAAATGTATCTAAAGGATAAATATCTAGAAGTGAGATTGCTAAAAATGTATGTTTTTATAATTTATAGAACTGCCTATCCATTTCCTTTGCTCATTTTCTTAACGAGTTGTTTTACCCCTTCTTGTAAGTTTATAAAATCTATATTTATTGATATTAATGGTCTGCCATTAATATTATAATAATATTATTATGCATTGCAAATATTTTTTCTATTGATCTTGTTTTTTGGACTTTTAAAATTAAGTATAACCTAAAATGCACAAATCTTAAGTGTAAAACTCCATTTTTTTACATTACACAAATGTAATTTTTTTTACACTACACAACCATCACCCACTTAATATAAAATATGTATATGTATTTCTAGCACCTCAGTGCTAGAATAATACTTGCTGCTTCCCTTCTGTCTCCCAGCCAACCCTCCTTCCCCAAAGTAATCACTATTCTGACTTATCACCATAGATTTATTTTGTCAGTTTTGAATTTCACATAGATGGAGTAATACTATTTGTATTCTTTGTGTTTGACTGTGAGACTCGTCTATTTCGTTGTCTGTGACAAGTTTTTTTTTTTTTTTTTCCTATTGTTCAGTAGAATTCACTGTACAAATATGCCACAGTTCATTTCCTTCTTCTTGTGTTGATGGACATTTGAGTTGCTCCCAGTTTTTAGGTTGTTTATTGTCAAGTTTGTTTAAACTAGGAACTGTGTTTCCAAGAATCATATTCTTTAGATGGGTCTAGGCCAGAAAGACCTGAGTGAGATTTGGAAAGTGGAAGTGAAGCAGTATGTTTTACTCAGAAAAGTCCAAGACTGGGCAGAGTTCATAAGTCAAACATTTTGAATCACTAAGGCTTTGTCCTTTGCTGATGGATCTGTATGTATGGGGGAGTGTGTCCAAAGTTCAGGCTGTTTTCAAGTCTTTCCAGATTTTGCTTTTCATCAGGCCCTTT